CCTCGAGGGAAGGCTCGGGGACGCTGGGACACGCGGGAACGCGCATTGAAGTCAACGCTGCCGATGCGCGGGCCGGCATTTGATTCAGAGACGTCGACGACGGGAATGAGTTCAGGGATTTTATGCGGTGGGGGCGGGCAGCAGGGAGAATCGACCCGGCCCACAGGTGATGCTTTGGCGGCTTAGTCGCCGTCGATCCTGCACCGTTGGATGCACCATTGAATCCCACGTCACTTGACGTGCCGATTGCAAATGCGCCCGTTTCCGGGCTTGCGGCGGGATGATCCCAAGGGTTGGCGGTGGGCCGTTTGGGGCGGAATATGGGCGACACGGGAGCGTGCAACGAGCGAAAGATGGACCCCACGCCCCATCCGCCCGCGGTGCTGCTGCTGTTGTGAAACCACAAGGGACTGCTGCCGCCGCGCCTGCTGCTTCTACTACTACTGCCACCGCTACAGAATGAGAACGATCCCGAGACCGCTGCCGTCTCCGCTGCGTGAATGTCATGCGGCGATGGGGAGCTGGGACTGCGCTCCGCCTTTTGAAGCGCTTCAAACGGGGAGCTGGGGCTGCGATCCGCGATTCCCGGCGACTGAAGAGACCTCAGGTTGTCCGACGAGTTGCTGCTATTGGCGCGCACCATCGGCCTTCCGCCGTCGAACCCGGCGGCGTGCGCGCCCGTGCTGTTCCGCCGGACATGATGGATTGTGCTGCTGCTGCTCCCCCGACTCAGGCTCCGCATTCCACGTCCGCCACTGCGCGGGCGTGTGTTGGCGCGCGCAGGGCATTGCTTGTCTTCGCTCATCGTTCGCTCGGCCGCGCCGCGGAAACTTCCGCCCACGAATGCGACGAATGCGCCGCGCGGACGGTGCGGGGACGGAGGCGGGCGATGCGGGGACGGAGGCGGACGATGCGGGGACGGAGGGAACCGCTCGCTCGCGGGCGACGGCGGCGTGGTGTCCTCAGTGATAGGATAGTCTCTACTGTCGGCGGTTGCCCTTCCCGACGCGCGATTGCCGTCGCGCCGCCCGCACTGTCCGGCGGCGACGGCGCTCACGCTAGGGTCGAGGGAAGCGGCCGTGATTTTCTTCGCCGTCAGCGATTCACACGAACCGAGCCCTCGGTGCGACAGGCCACCTTCCACCAGCTGCGGAACTACCGAACCCACTTCCGCGGACTCGGCGCGCCGATGTGAGCGCTGCGCGCTGGCAGGAGAAGTTGGCGGGGGAAGACTATCGCGGACAGTTGTTGTTAGAAGTGAATGTGACGCGTCGGCATTGGCGCTTCCGCGCGCCCTCTCCGCTACACTCCAGCGATTTCCCGCCGGCGCCGCGGTCCTTTTCAGCTTGACGGCTTGGTTGCCATTCCGCAGCCGTTCCCGAGCGGACGAATCGCTCGAAATGGGGCTTCGACCGCAGCTGTCGCATGCGACGCTGTCGCTAGAATCGCTCTTCGCAAAGTCGCTCGTCTCGCCGCTTCTCCCGTCGCCGCTCTCGTCGCTACTCTCCGCGCCGACGAGCGCGGTGATTGTATCATCAAGCTCTATCGAGTCGCTGCTTGTGAGAATGTCGAGGGCCGGGGGACGGCGGAACGGCGGGCGGAAAGCAGGCTTTGCCGCGGGGAAAGGGGTCTGGGGAGCGGCATCGGCGGACCGCCGTCCTAAACTGCCCAACAAACGGCCTCCTAGAACTGCCATTTCCACGCGACGCGGGCTACACACCACTCAATATCTTAGAAGTAATTCTACGACGGTCATGCAATTATATGACGGGAAGATATCCTTTGCTTGGTCATTGTGGACCAGAATCAAGCGGAAGGAGTAGTTGTTTGATGCGTCGAGAGCCTCACTGGGGCTGGTGTGAAGCATGTGCAGTGTGATGGTGTGTTATACTGTAGTGGTGCGCTGTGGCTGTTTCAAGAAAAAAAGTCGGCAGCCCAGTGAGTTGGCTGTGTCACTTCTGATGAGTGAGGTCTCGGGATCAATCCTCCGTGCCGACGTGTTCTGTCAGCCTCCCAGAAGGGGGTTCGCACGGCTCACTCTGGGAGTGGATATACCTCAACCTCGTTGACCCAGCGAGTCTAAACAATTGGGGAGGCGGGTTACGACTGACAGCCAGGTGTGGGTAACACCCAGAGGGGTTTCCCCCCCTCCTTTACCTTTACCTTTACTCCCAACCCAACCAAACAGAGCCAAGACGGAAGGTTCAGCAGCAGCGAGCGTGCTGTACACTGGAAGTTCGACGGGGGATTCAAAACCAATTTCCGAGTTTAGGGCTAAACACCCTCGCGAAAAATTGACAGCTGGCAAGCAGCATGCAGTCGGTGGTCGTGTGGACGTGTAGCTTCGAGGTTGTGTACAGTTTACTGTCATGATGGCTCGTCTGGTCACCAACTTCCAATCGTTGGCGGTGGAAGGGGGAAAGGGGGGGGGGGGGAAGCGGAGGTGCACACAGACAGCACAACCCACCCTCCAGCTGTTGGGGGAAGGCGGCTGTTGCGCACGGGCGGAGCGGGTTCGTTTTTGGTTCTGCCTGCGAATGTAGCGAGAAGTGGCTAGCTAGGCTACAAAAGATACGTCACGTCACTACACCCTATTTCGCGCTTGCAAAACAACTGTTTGAGGTAGATAAGTAGATTGTAGAACTTCATCACGTTCAGAATGGTATTATCACTCACGGTAGAGGAACATTTTGTCGCGATAATGTTGACAGGGTGTAGAATGCTCAGGTGGCGACTTTGTCAGCAGGCAACTGGTTTAGTGTTGCCAAAATGTCTCGATTTCACAAGATCAGAGGAAATTTGCTGGCACAAGTATCATATTTGTGACGGTGGCATATGATAGTTGGAACTGATTACACCTCGGCTAAAAAGGATGCTCTGTTTAGCGATCCAGCTGGCGTATGCACTGTTCCGTTTCTGCTTCCTCTTGACCAGCTTGCGGCTGTGTTTGTCGCTAGGTGCGGCCTTGTCAGCAGAAACGGTTAGCATCACCAGCGCGCTAGCTCTTACTGTAGCAATGAGCTGTGCAAGGTGAGAATGTTGAGAAATTGGGTGTACAATATTCCCGAAGCGATGCAGACAAATAATGGAAGGGCACGTGTAATCATGGTGAATCAACATCTCGAAAGATATCTTTAGAAATCATGCGGTGGTGCTAGGTCGCCGCCGTGCAAGCCGGAATTGAACTGTACATAAAACAAGATGGGCAGTCCGAAAATCATTTGGTATGTAGGCTCCAGGGCAGACATTTCATTTGAAAATTTTGTAATCCCAACTACAGTACCCTTCACCACTGCCCAAATCATCACATGGACCCCCGACCAATCTGTTCACCATAGATGGAAGATTCCCGCACATCTGTCGATGTCACGCATATCCGTAGAGGTAATGTACTGTACAGCACTGTACCACATTCAGCTTCTACGTGCAGCCAGCCTCACTTGACTTGCTGCTACCCGCAGCACGCCACAGCACAGATAAACTTCCACTAGAGGTAACCCCGATACTGGTATACGGCGTATTAAACAAAACCAGCACATTATCCCAAGAATGATTTGGGGGAACATGAAAAGTCGTTTCGGTTGAACATACACAAACTGCTGCACCAATGGCATGAACGAACCGACAATATCAGATGCTTAAATGGCAACTAGCAGGTGTAGCGTATTTTTCAAATGAAGAGGAGATGCATGGCCTTAGTTGTTCTGTGCCAACAGAATCACGCATGTGTGACAGTCATCCATCCCCTCCAAAGAATCATTTCTCATCAAGCCACACCTCCAACCGTAACCGCTGCTCGTCCCTTATCCAGTTACCACCACCAGCACCACGAGGTACGTCAGATTTATCCTCCTTGATCCGCAACGGTTGTTGGGATTTTCAGGCCAGGAGGGGAGATGAGCCTTAACAACCGGCTTGATATGCTGGATTGGTGGGAGGCACAGGAGGGGAAGGGGGATGTAGCGCAGCAGGAGTCATACATGGCATGTCAGGGGCAGGAGAGGAGGGAGCAAGGAAAACTGGGGAGAGATGGATACACCCAAGCAAGCGCAATGATTCTCACCTGAAAATATATCCTCCATTTTTTTTGTTGATGTTTTATTCTTGAATTCTCTCACCTTGTTTGTGCATTCCCTGTAGTAGCTGTCCCGATAGCAGCATCTTCAGCAGAGTCCTCAGCGCCCTCATTGATGAAAGCCAGCAGTGCTGCTGGCACCGTCACCGCCCTCCTCACAGCTGCCCCGTCAGCCACCCGTCCTCCTGCCACGTCAGCACTAGAAGCATCAGCTGCCATGTCAGCACAAGGAGCATCAGCCGCAACGTCAGCATTGGGAGAAACAGCTGCCACATCAACAGTGCACGAAGCTGTTGCAAAAGCAGCAGCCTTAATTTCCACCTTACATCCCTACCCACCAGATCCCTACCCACCAGATCCCTACCCACCAGATCCCTACCCACCAGATCCCTCACCTTGAGAGCCCTTTTGAGGCGCCTCAAAAGCAGCAGCCTTAATTTCCACCTTACATCCCTACCCACCAGATCCCTCACCTTGAGAGCCACGAGCGTGGGCACAGCGGCGTGCACGCGCTGCTGCACTCCCGCGAGCGCCGCTGACGGCTCGTGCGCATGCACTGCGCGGGGGGAGGGGGCGGGAGGAGGAGAGGAGGAAAGGAACGATTGACGCTAGGAACGGGGAGGAGCGTGTAACAATTTTCGAGGTGACCCTTGAGTCGACTCAAAAGTCACCTCATTTTCGAGGCGGCTCAGAAGCGACTCATACGCCCCTATCCGTCCTCATGACGCGATTAGCGTCCCCCTCTCTCCCGCACAGCGCGCGCGCGCCGCCCCTCGGCGCACCTTGCTGCGCGGACGGCGTCTCCGCCACGCGCGGAGGCATGGCGGCCTGCGCGGACGAGTCAGTTCAAGGCGGAGCTAGCTGCGCAGAACGCGCCTCTCCCAGTCGAAGCCAAAGTCGTCCCCCGAGCGACCGACTTTACCACATGGGCTCGACAATGCTGCAGCGGTGCGCGGAGGGTGTGCGCGGAGGGGGGGCGCGGAGGGTATGACTGCTTGGGGTATCGGGAGGTGAACTGGCGGGAGTTGCGCGCGCGTCGATCAACTTCTCGGCGCATGAGGAAAACAAATTCGCCTGTCACACGCGAGAATCAAGATATCGCCTCGCACGATAAGCCCAGCTAGAATTATCTTGCGAGGTTGGGACGAGAATGGTTTGACGCAGTTGTCATGCTTTAGCCGATCGCCCATTGTGTCATTCGGATTGGAAAATGACGTAAAATGTGTTCAGCCGAATCAATCGGTCGAAAGGGATTGCGTTGGAAGTTCCAATGCGCGTCGTTTTCCACGTTGGAAACGTCGCTCGTTCCACGTTCCGTTTCTGAGCGAGCGGTCCGTGTCATCACATCACTCAGCAGAAACGCTCGCACTGCACCGCACCGCACCGCACCGCACGTTCCTATTCTAGGCGAGCGGTTATAGCGAAGGGCACCTCCACCATACACACCGCCCAAGCCAGTCCTGGCAAGTCGGCCCCCTAAGGCACCATACACACCGCCCTTGAAAGACATGCTTTGAGGCGTCTCACAAGCCAGTCCTTAAAAGTCGGTCCTTAAAAGTCGGTCCTTAAAAGTCGGTCCTTGAAAGACATCCCAAGCCATGCTGCCGCCTCGTGTCACTCGCTTCTCGCCCGTCCCTCCCGCCCTTTCCGCCCCGCCCTTCCCGCTTGCCCACACGCTTCACCCTTCACCCCTCCGCCCTTCACCCCTCCGCCCCCCACCCCTCCGCCCTTCACCCCTCCGCCCTTCACCCCTCCGCCCCCCACCCCTCCGCCCTTCACCCCTCCGCCCTTCACCCCTCCGCCCCCCCTCGCTCCTCCCCACCCCTCCTCTCTTCTCACCCCAGGCCTTCCCTCTTGCCAAGAGGCTTCATCCCTCCATGCTCTCTCTTCCTTGGCCCTGCAAATCCGTCTCCTCTCGAGCTGTCTCAGCCTCATCGTATCACCGCCTGTCCACCTCCGTCCCCAACAGGGTCTGGGCCTGCTCCTTCTCTCCCTCTTCCTCCTTGTCGTTGTCCTCCTCTTTCTCCTCACCATCGTCACCCCCTACCCACTCATTCTCCGCCGCCCCCCAACCCTCACCCCAACCCCCTGAAATATCCACCCATAAACCCCGGAATTCCGAACCCCCCAACCCCAGCCCCAATTCCCTGGCTCCTGATTGGCTGACACGCTTCCTCCTCTCACGCGATTGGCTGCTATCTCCCGCCAAAGCCGCTCCCCACATCACCCAAGTGCTCCTGGGTCCAACCCTTAACCACGCCTGGCCCAAGATCCATCGACTACCTTGGGGGAGCGAGGAGCACTTGAGACAAGAGCATGGACTTCATATAAATAGAATACCAGCCCATGGGCTTACTATAAATAGTATAGCTGCAGAAACGGCAAATGCAATTGGTTCTGGTGGCGGTAACAGAGCTTCTCCTTCCCGCTTCTTCTGCACCGTTGATGTGATCCGGGACGATCTCATCCATCCGTTGGCGGGCGGCAACAAGCTGCGCAAGCTGGACGGGCTGCTGCCACCTGTGATCCAATCCGGGGCAACGGACGTGGTAAGCAAGAGGGGGTATAATCAAGAATAGCCCAAGCAGTAACAGGGCGACCCGTCATCCTTCCGTTTCCACACCCTTCTCACATGTCCCATCCCCGTGACTTTTGAGTCGACTCAAAAGTCTGTCCCATCCCCCACCCCCCTCCTCACATGTCCCATCCCCCACCCCCCTCCTCACATCTCTCCTCTCTCCCTTCGTCACCCTCCACCCCCCCCTCTGGGTCACGTCTGGGGGTTGTCAGAGCGCACACACTGCTGCTGCTGCTGTGGGTGAGCCATGCCCTGCTCTGCTGCTTCCGTTTTCTTTCCATTCCGCTCCTCTGATGCCCCACCCGCTCCCCTTCCCCCCATCTACCTCCTCTCCCCCGCCGTTCCCATCCCCCCCTCCAGGTCACGTGTGGGGGTTGCCAGAGCGCGCACACTGCTGCTGTGGGTGAGTGAGTCATGCCCGCGGTGCTTCTTTCTTATTACCCTGCCGCTTGGATTCGAAGCAACTCGGAACGATCTGGTCTTTGTTACTATTCGGTTCAGTGTGGTACTCTGTGGTCAGTAGTATACGGCTATCACGGCCAAACTCATTCTTCTCGGCCCCTTCTCCCTGTGTCTCTTTTGCTCCAGCTGTGGCGTGTGCAGAGAGGGGCCTTAAAGCCCACCTCGTGCTCAGGGGAGAGCCGCCCAAAGTTCCTACTGGCAACGCCCTCATCTCGCACATGTTCGGCTGCCCGAGATATGTTTCCCGGGCAGAATACGCGGACCGGGAAAAGGCGCTTCTTTCTCGGGCAGCTGTGGTGGCTGGGGTAAGGGGGACGGTTCAGTGGGGTGCTGGGCCTGCCACGTCATCCATGAACTATGGCATGTCAGCAGCTGAAGATGCCACGTCAGAGTTGGGTGACACGTCAGCAGGGATGAATGAATCAGTGGAGGGGCATCCGCGTGTGGCAATAATCCCTGAGGGCGGATCAGATGGACTGGCTCTGCTGGGTGAGTCCATGGTCAACCCCTGGTCAACCCTGGTCAACCCTGGTCAACCATGGCGTGGCCATGCATACCAATGGAGTCCTGGCTCCTGCTTATCCTGAATAAGCCCCACTCCACGTCTCTTTCCCTTCCGTCTTCCCACAAACCCCTCAGTCTCCGCCGCTCCAGCCCTTTCCCTCTCCCCCAGGTCTCCTGCGTCTCGTGCACCTGCTATCAGAGCGAGACGGGCAGTGTGAGCAGAGGAGGCGCAGGCGAGTGGTGGTGGTGGACAGTGGCACGGGCACCACTGCTGTTGGCTGTGCTCTCGCCGTGCATCTGCTGGGGTGAGGAGGAATTGTTTCCGTGGGCTGGAGTTATGTGATAGAGAGGAGGAGAGAGGGGGAGAGAGAGGGAGAGAGGGGGAGAGAGAGGGAGAGAGAGGGAGAGAGAGGGAGAGAGAGGGAGAGAGAGGGAGAGAGAGGGAGAGAGAGGGAGAGAGAGGGAGAGAGAGGGAGAGAGGAGGAGAGGGAGGAGAGAGAGAGGGAGAGAGAGGGGAGAGAGAGGGAGAGAGAGGGAGAGAGAGGGAGAGAGAGGGAGAGAGAGGGAGAGAGAGGGAGAGAGAGGGAGAGAGAGGGAGAGAGAGGGAGAGAGAGGGAGAGAGAGGGAGAGAGAGGGAGAGAGAGGGAGAGAGAGGGAGAGAGAGGGAGAGAGAGGTACTAGTGATGATATGGTTCATGTTATCAGGCACCCCTGCCTCCTCTCCTCTGCCATACTGCACCCCTGCTTCCTCTCCTCTGCCATACTGCACCCCGGCCCCTCTCCTCTGCCATTCTCCCCCCTCTCCCAACTCGCCGTTTTCCCCGTGCCCCACCTTGCCATCCCCCCTGCCCCTCTCCAGTCTGCCGTGGCTCGTGGTGGGGGTAACACTGGCCGGCACCACTTCTTCCTCTGCTTCACCTTTGCCCCCCCCTGCCCTGCCCTGCCCTGCTCGTCCCACCACCAGTCTCCCATGGCTCGTGGTGGGGGTAACACTGGCCGGCACCACTTCTTCCTCTGCTTCACCTTTGCCCCCCCCTGCCCTGCCCTGCCCTGCTCGTCCCACCACCAGTCTCCCATGGCTCGTGGTGGGGGTGACACTGGCCGGCACCCCCGACTATTACACCACCCAGCAGGAGAAGCTGCTCAGAAGCTTCACGGACCAGCTCCCCTCGCTGCTCTCTCTGTCAGAAGCGCAGTTGCCTGTGTTTGACCGAGGCCAGGAGGACGTGTCTGATAGAGCCACAACAGAGGCGGCAAAGGCAGCAGAATCAGCAGAGGCAGCAGAGGAGGTAGAGGAGGTAGTAGAGCGAGCAGAGGAGGTAGAGCGAGCAGAGGAGGTAGAGCGAGCAGAGGAGGTAGAGCGAGCAGAGGAGGTAGAGCGAGCAGAGGAGGTAGAGCGAGCACTGCAGCAGTTGTCAGCGTGTGCCCACGCCCTTCCTCTCGTGTGGGTGCCTCGGGAAACTCCCCGTCGGTACGTTCCATGCACTCCCATCCTCCCCCCCATTGCAGCTCCCTCAGATGATTTTTTATCGACTCAAGAATGCCCCTGTCCTTGCTTAGGTGCCTCGAGAAACTCCCCGTCTGTACGTCCCATCTCAAGCATTCCCCCTTACCCCCTCCTTTGCCACTTCCTGCTGTGTACCATGCCTGTGTGATGCTTTAATCCCCCCCACCGCCCCATCCCTTCCCATGCAGCTTTGGCAAGGTCCTACCCGGGGAGATTTCCCTGTGCTGCGAGTTCATGCGGGGAACAGGCATCCCCATCGACCCCATCTACACCCTCGCTGCCTTGTTCCAACACGCCTTAAGACGGCACTTCTCCCCCACCCCCTTGCAGGTTCGGCAAGGTCCTTCCAGGTGAAATCTCCCGGTGTTGTGACTTCATGAGAGCAACGGGCATCCCCATTGACCCCATCTACACCCTCGCTGCCTGGGAGGTCGCACACGCCCTGCCACACGCCCTCGCACTCACTCAGGCTCTAGGACAGGCCAATGGAGGAGAGACACGTGGGCAAGGACTGGCCAATGCAGGAGATGCTGGGAAGCCTTCTGAGTCTTGTCAAGTGCAGACTGATGGGCAGAGGCAGGACTCAAACGATCAGAGTCATGAGGAACAGTTTGCTGATACGCTTGCCCAGGCTCTGCTTCCGAAGCTGGGCGATTGGTTCGGCAACAGGCTCGTGGCGGGACGCAGCGGAGAAGGGGAAACGAGCGATGCCATCAGTGCAAATGATGTTCGTGAGAATGCTACTGCTGCTGCTGCTGATGCTCATGCTCATGCTCATGCTCATGCTCATGCTCATGCTCATGCTGCTGCTGACAGTGGTGGTGCCATCAGCATCACAGTGCTGCACACGGGAGGGACCCTGGACATGTTCGGCCTTGCGCAACGATTCCCAGGGGAATTCTCTCCCAAGAATTGACCAAAGAACATGCCATCCTGATTGCGAGACTCCGAAGCAGTATCCTGCAATGCCACAAAGCGTTAGGCTCTTGTTGATAAAGTGCTCTACAAGTTTCCACGAACACTGTCCTGCATGCAATGCCTCAAGAGTTCCACTGTTGCTTCACGAGCCTCAAAAGCCATTCACAAGCAGAAACACCCTAGCCAGCCAGCCCAGGAACAGCCTGGCATGAGGAAGCAGGTCTTATGCACAGTGTCTCGATTGCAGCAGAGCTGAAACGAAAGCACAGCAGCTGCAGAGAGAGCACGGTGACAAAAGAGTGTCTAGCAGTTCACAAGCCGTTGTCCTGAAGGTCCAACAGGCAAGAGGAAATAATCCCCCAGAGCAGCATCCCTGCGTGAAGCCATGCTGAAGGCATAGCGCAGGCGCATGGACTTCAGGCAGAAGAGAGACCCGACTGAGCTCTGGAACATGTCGGCCTGCGCGCTGATCGCCATGGTTACCAGGCCTAGCACCTGAACGCATCCCCCCCTCTTCCCCTCTCCTCCCCCTACTCCTCCCTCCTCACTTCCTCCTCTACCTTCCTCACAAGCCATTGTCCTGGAGATCCAAAAACACACCCCAGCCAGGATCAGCGGTGGTATCCACAGGCAAGAGGAAATCATCCCCCAGAGCAGCATCCCAACACGAAGCTGTACTGAAGGCATAGCGCAGACGCATGGTCTGAACAGAGGAGAGAGACCCGAAGGAGCCCTGGAACATGTCGGCCTGCGCGCTGATCGCCATGGTTACCAGGTCTAACACCTGCTGGAAGGTTCCTGGAAAGCGCTTGAGGATGCGCTGGTGGAAGGAGCGTGGGAGGATGAAGCGAACGGGGTCGCCGTTGATCTCCCACAGCTTGTACCATGCCTCGCGGACCTGCCAATAAGGGGGATGCGATGTAGAAGAATGGGAAGTGAAGGGCCGAGATGATGTGAGGGAGGATGAAGCGAATCGGGTCGCCGTTGATCTCCCACAGCTTGTACCATGCCTCTCGAACCTGGGGATAAGGAAGATAGGGGGTGATGCATAGGATGACAAGGCGGACAGGCTAAGCAGAGCCTGGCAGGATGACTTCATCCACAGGTTGTACAGCACTTCCCACACCGAAAGCGCCAACCCACGTCATACAGTCTCCATGCCCTTGGAAATGAATTCAACGTGCCATGCAGGTGCAGCACTCCTCCACGATGGGGCGCGGATCTTTGATCTCGGGCGCTTGGATCAAGGCGCGTGCGCGGTCAGGTTTGAGGTCAGGTTTGAGGTCAGGTTTGAGGTCAGGTTTGACGTCAGGTTTGAGGTCAGGTTTGAGGTCAGGTTTGAGGTCAGGTTTGAGGTCAGGTTTGAGGTCAGGCTTGGGTCAGGTTTGAGGTCAGGTTTGAGGTCAGGTTTGAGGTCAGGTTTGACGTCAGGTTTGAGGTCAGGTTTGAGGTCAGGTTTGACGTCAGGTTTGACGTCAGGTTTGAGGTCAGGTTTGAGGTCAGGTTTGACGTCAGGTTTGAGGTCAGGTTTGAGGTCAGGTTTGAGGTCAGGCTAGACGTCAGGTTTGAGGTCAGGTTTGAGGTCAGGTTTGAGGTCAGGTTTGAGGTCAGGTTTGACGTCAGGTTTGAGGTCAGGTTTGAGGTCAGGTTTGAGGTCAGGTTTGAGGTCAGGTTTGACGTCAGGTTTGAGGTCAGGTTTGAGGTCAGGTTTGAGGTCAGGTTTGAGGTCAGGTTTGAGGTCAGGTTTGGGGTCACGTTAGACGTCAGGTTTGAGGTCAGGTTTGAGGTCAGGTTTGAGGTCAGGTTTGAGGTCAGGTTTGAGGTCAGGTTTGAGGTCAGGTTTGACGTCAGGTTTGAGGTCAGGTTTGAGGTCAGGTTTGACGTCAGGTTTGACGTCAGGTGTGACCTTTGAGGTCAGGTTTGACGTGAGGTTTGACGTGAGGTTTGAGGTCAGGTTTGAGGTCAGGTTTGAGGTCAGGTTTGAGGTCAGGTTTGACGTCAGGTTTGACGTCAGGTTTGACGTCAGGTTTGAGGTCAGGTTTGACGTCAGGTTTGACGTCAGGTTTGAGGTCAGGTTTGAGGTCAGGTTTGAGGTCAGGTTTGAGGTCAGGTTTGAGGTCAGGTTTGAGGTCAGGTTTGAGGTCAGGTTTGAGGTCAGGTTTGAGGTCAGGTTTGAGGTCAGGTTTGACGTCAGGTTTGAGGTCAGGTTTGAGGTCAGGTTTGAGGTCAGGTTTGACGTCAGGTTTGACGTCAGGTTTGAGGTCAGGTTTGAGGTCAGGTTTGACGTCAGGTTTGACGTCAGGTTTGAGGTCAGGTTTGACGTCAGGTTTGAGGTCAGGTTTGAGGTCAGGTTTGACGTCAGGTTTGAGGTCAGGTTTGAGGTCAGGTTTGTCCTCAGGTTAAACGTCAGGTTTGAGGTCAGGTTGAGGTCAGGTTTGACGTCAGGTTTGAGGTCAGGTTTGAGGTCAGGTTTGAGATCAGGTTTGAGGTCAGGTTTGACATCAGGTTTGAGGTCAGGTTTGAGATCAGGTTTGAGGTCAGGTTTGAGGTCAGGTTTGAGGTCAGGTTTGAGGTCAGGTTTGACGTCAGGTTTGACGTCAGGTTTGACGTCAGGTTTGACGTCAGGTTTGAGGTCAGGTTTGAGGTCAGGTTTGAGGTCAGGTTTGAGGTCAGGTTTGAGGTCAGGTTTGACGTCAGGTTTGAGGTCAGGTTTGACGTCAGGTTTGACGTCAGGTTTGAGGTCAGGTTTGAGGTCAGGTTTGAGGTCAGGTTTGAGGTCAGGTTTGAGGTCAGGTTGCCGTCTGGTTTTACGTCAGTCACACCCTCCATCTGGCATCCCCATCGTGGGCAGCAGAGCGCGTGCCTAGTAAGCCACGGACCAAGGCGCGCGCGCTGGCCAAGGCGCTTGGTGTGTCCATGACAAGCAAGAACCAACCCACCTCTTGATCCGATGCGTCCATGACAAGCAAGAGCCGTCGAATGCCCGAAGCAGACAGCTTGCGCCACAAGCAACCTGCCACCTCAGCAACCGACAGCTGGCAGGCCCGGTTACCAACGCCTTTAATGTAACCCCCACTGCCGTCACCACCACCATCACCACTACTACTGCTGCTGCTTCTGCTGCTGCTGCTGCTGCTGCTGCTGCTGCTGCTGCTGCTATTGGCATTCGTACTATCCTCTATGCTTCTCAACCCTCTTCTTTTCCCTTTCTTCACAAACCCAATGTTGGACTTTGATTCCTTATCGGCTGCAGCTGCTCTTGCTGCTGCTGCATCTGCATCCCCACCCAAGTCACACCAAAGCTGACCCTCCAACCCAGCCCTCTTCTCATAATTCACCGCAAGAAACGGAATTTTCACCCCGTCACTGCCCGAGAAAAAATTTTCTGGATCTCCTTTGCTAGGCGCAGCACCTTCCGGTTGGGCAGGAGCGTGTACGGGTTCGGGCAGCCCGGCGAACGAACGAACGGCACATCGCCCGGAAAATTGACCAGGTTCGGAGTATCTGGGGCCTCCCAGAACGCGTAGAGCAAATCCCCCACAAAGAGCACTCGTGCTGAGCGAACCTCCGGCGCAGTGTAGACCGAGAGGAACGACTGGAGGGGGGATCGGCGTGTGAGGTTCGCAAAGAGGGCGGTTCGTGGAAAGGAGAGGTCGGGGCGGGCTCGGAACCGCTTGGGGAGAACCGACTTGTCCTTGTACCAGGGGACGAGAGCGTCAATCACAATGGGGTGTGCTGTTTCTTCCTGGTCAAAAGCCTCCTCCGTTGATGAAGTCTCTTCATCTTCGGACAGCTTAGCCTTTGCTTCCTTATTCTTCTTCTTCTTCTTTCCCTTGAGGAATCGCCTCCATTGGACCGTCTGTGCTTCTTCCCCTCTCCTTTCTACTTCCACTTCCTCGTCCTCTTTCTCATCCTCCGCCTCCTCCCCCCCCCTCCCCACTTCCCCTTCACTCACCCCTGAAGCAGCAACACCCTGACCAACCAGCATCCTCCTCCTCCCCTCCTCCTCACCCTTCCCTTCTCCCTCTCCCGTGCTCTCCACTCATGCGCCAGCAGCACAGTGTCCTCCCCATAGCACATCCTCAGGTGCCCAATGTCAACAGCCAGCTCCCACGAGTGCTCGCCCCGCACGCCCTTGCCATGGAAGCGGCCCACCAGCAGAGTGCGGTTGAGAAGTCCAGCTAGTAGCAGGTGGTGCTGTAGACACACCAGCCTCTCGCTCAACTGCCAGGGGGGTACAGGGAGAGGAAAATGGGGACGTGACGGCTGAATTGGGGGCTAAAGCTCCCACGAGATGCGAGAGAAGTTGACCAGCAGAGTGCAGTTGAGCAGCCCTGCTAGCAGCACGTGGTGCTGCAGACACACCAGCCGCTCAGGTGACAGGGGGGGTCCGAGGTCGTGAGTGGGGGAAAGGAGAGTATGGGGGGGAAAGCATGAGAGGGATACAGATCGGCATGGTAAAGGGAGGGATGGGTTGGACGGGAGGGCGTGGGAGGGGTGGGTTGGACGGGAGGGGATGGGAGGGTGGGTTTGATGGGAGGAAAACAGTGGACTATGGGTCGCGCAGCGTAGATACATTACCCTCCTCCTTCCCCTCACCTTCAACTCCTCCCCTCCCTCACCCTCCTCCCCTTCATCTCCTTCACTTCCCCACCCTCCTCTCCTTCCCTTCCTCATCCTCCTCTCTTTCCCTTCCTCATCCTCCTCTCTTTCCCTTCCTCATCCTCCTCTCTTTCACTTCCTCATTCTCCTCTCCTTCCCTCTCTCACCTTGCCTTTGTGGCACGAGAGTAGCAGGTACCGGTCCGCCTCTGGTTTTTATTGCTGCAAACCGTAGCCACCTCCATCAATTTTGAAGATTATCTTTCGGGAAATCTGGCATGTGACCCTCTCACCTTGCCTTTGTGGCACGAGAGCAGCAGGTATCGGTCTGGCTCTGGTTTCCATTGCAACAAACCGTTGCCACCGCCACCACCACCCTTGTTGCCATTAACAGCAGCAGCTGCTGCCGCTGCTGCTGTGGTGCGCTTCTCGCTGAACAGACGCGTGGCGCCACAATGACGCGCCAGCTGGCGGTTGCGAGTCTCTAGAGCCAATAGGAACGCAGGGACTCTGGAGCAAGATGGTGAAGGGTGGGTAGGGAGATGGGGAGAAGAGGAAGAGGAATCGGAATGCGGGTAGATGGAATGTGAACGTTTTGCGTTTGACAATGCGAACTGAAACGTCACAATTCATCTGTGGCACGCGGCCTTTCAGGTATGAAAACATTGTTAATAATGTATGCGAACAGAGGATGTTTTCCCGCGTGTGTCTCTCCTATCCCTCCACACTCTATGCGCTCTCCTCCTCCCAATTCCCCCACCTTCATCCTCCTTTCAATTGATCCCCCTTTCAGCTGTTCCCTCCCTCTCCCTCCTTACAGGTCCTTTGCACTCGCTGCTGCTTCAGCGTCTCCCGCATTCTCTGCATCCGTCACTATCGCACTCGCGCTAGTCGGTAACCCTATTCGCAGTAGCTCGTTAACGTGCGAACCAGCTGCCTTCTCAGCCTCCGCTTCAGATTCCTCATTCCCAGAATCAGATTCGGAACCTTCCGGCACATCGTCAGGGATTTCCGGAATCTCTGCAAGTTCTGGGATCTCCGGCGGGGCTTCTAACGGCTCTGATTCGTCCGAGCCGCTCGCCAAGGGACTCTCGGCTAACACTGGTAGCGTGTGCTTTGACGAGACGAGGAAGAAAGAGAATATCAGAACGACACATAATCGAGCAGTTATTTTCATATCTGAAGAGCTTTGTACAGATAAGCGCGAAGAGTAGAAGATGCTTGCTGCATTAGACAAGAAATCCAGGCGTCAGCATGAGTAGCTGTTTCTTGTTGAGAGCTCATCGAGGTCGATTGGTATGAAGAGTGAATCTGACAGACAGAGGAAGCTCGGCAAGCAGAATGCAGGGAGGGAAAATATGGAGGGAGGACGCATTTCCATCCCACAAATATCAATAAAAGGGCCATAAGTACAGTAAGCTAAGAATGTTGTGTAAGAAGAAATTGCTGATATGGCAGATATAGATTCTCCAGTATGCGAGAAACACCCCTTTAATTTCAGAGACATGAAAATCTTGTGTAGTTCATTTCATCCATAGCATGTCCGACCTGGTAGCGGCACTGTGGCTCTATACAATAACAGAAAATGAATGAATATGATTTGCAAATTGAGAATCTAATTGAATCTGCAGATTTAATTTCGGGAAACAGCAGTAGATGATTTGAGCATGTAATGCTTCCAGAATACGCAGCTTTTTATAGATAATTCTTTCCAGGCGGTACAGGTGTAGCAGCAGTTGAATAAACGAATCGAAGCGTCAGTTTGACGTCAGGCTCCCGCGAGTCCCTCAGACTCCGCAGTCGCGCTGATTGGCGGAATAGCATCCTGCGCGCAGACGGATCAGGCTGCGCTCTGCGCAAGCTTCACCGCTTCCCCTCCCTCTGCGCTCTCCGCCCTTCTTTCTCCTTCACTACAGGTTTACCTAAAAGGGGCTAAAAATGCTCAGCCTGGGCCTGCCACCTCGGCGAAATATCCACTCCAGAGTTCAGTGCGGACTTCCTTGATTCCTCGCGCTTCCCTCGAGCTTGTCGCCAACTCCATCTGCTTTTCCTGTCCCCGCTTGGCAAGATCTCGGATTTCTTCGTCAGGAGAGTAAACTGCAGCCAGCTAAGTCAGCCTGGTATTGTAGGGTTGGCCTCTGCGCCCTCTAATTCACCCGTTTCCTTTTTAGAGCCACGGGAAACAAAGATTTTGGTCGTCTGAGGCACTGAGACGCCTTCTCTTGGAATCACTCAAGCGGTTAGGTTAATCAGAACTGCTTCTTACCCCGTGAAAAGGCTTCTGATGGAGCAGCAGGAGCACGACGATATCAATGAGGGCATGGAGCAGCTAGCAATTCACGGTCCCTTGCCCATCGAGCAGCTAGAGGTAACATAAGAGGTCAATCGCGAGTCTTTTGATGTATCATATGCAGTGCACTAGTTATTACGAAGCCTCGTGCCCATTTGAGTTCTTTTCTTTTATGCAGCAATGCGGAATTTCTGCGACGGATGTGAAGAAGCTTCGCGAAGGAGGATTGTTCACTGTCGAAGCTGTAGCTTTCACAAGTAGAAAAGACCTCCTGAAGATCAAAGGCATCAGCGAGGCAAAAGTCGATCGTCTGAACGAGGCAGGCAAGTTTGCTCGTTCTGTCATAACGCTTCGTCCCGTTCATTACCTCTTGATGAAGTTTCGCTTCTTTTTTGGTTATGCAGCCAGTAAGCTGGTTCCGATGGGGTTCCAGAGTGCAACTCACGTGCATCAAATGAGAAGCAACGTCATTCATTTAACTACAGGATCGAAGGAGCTCGATTCTATCCTGCAAGGTAATAAACTGATGCAATAGGATACCACAGATGCGTGAAACATGGATTAGGGTTACTGTGATGGCAGTCGTTCAAGACACGACGCTCTAAAGAACATTTTTATTCTCAGGTGGTGTGGAGACGGGGTCCATAACGGAGATATATGGCGAGTTTCGCACAGGAAAGACACAGCTTTGCCTCACAATGGCTGTCACTTGTCAAGTGAGTATTTTTTTTCCGTCTCAGTTAAGATTGTGCGGTTGTTCTCTCCAATCTTCCACGGACTCTTTTACTGATTCCGCCTGCAGCTTCCAGTGGCTGAAGGCGGAGGCGAGGGCAGGGCACTTTGGATTGACACGGAAGGAACATTCAGACCAGAGCGGGTGGAACAAATTGCTCCGCGATTTGGACTTATTACTACTGAAGTGCTTGACAACATAGCAGTTGCACGAGCGCACAACACAGATCACCAGTCACAGCTGCTCATTGAGGCAGCATCCATGATGGCCGAGAGCAGGCAAGTGGCATTTGTTAGACGTTGTGAATTGGTTGTGGTGCTGTTCATTTTCGGGTATGTAGGGCATTGTTGTGCTGACTTTTACGCTGTGTATTTCGTTGCTGCAGATTTTCTCTGATTATAGTTGACAGCGCCACAGGCCTCTACAGGACGGACTACTCAGGCAGAGGAGAATTGTCAGCACGACAGTTGCATCTGGCTCGATTCCTGAGAACCCTGCAGCGGCTTGCAGACGAGGTAACATTTTCCCCTCGTTGCCGCCGCCCTCCTCCTGCTGTCAGCCTTCATAATTGGAACTCACTGGAATGTCTATTTGTGACTGCCAGTTTTCTTGTGCAGTGGTGGTGACCAACCAAGTGGTGGCTTCTGTCGATGGGAACATGTTTGCTGGCCCTCAAGTGAAGCCCATTGGAGGCAACATCATGGCTCATGCATCCACAACAAGGTACCCTGCCTATCTGAGGGTGTTCTCCCTGGCTGATGTTGTAACTGCGCTGACTCCTGGTGTGGTTGCTTGATTTCAGGCTTTACGTGAGAAAGGGAAGGCAAGAAGAGAGAATTTGCAAGATTATTTGCTCACCTTGTCTGCCAGAGGCGGAGGCGAGATACTGCATTGCTGACGAGGGGATTTCTGACTGCAAGGATTGAGTGATTGTGTTATGTTTCGTGCTTCAGCATATTTATACAGATGCAAGTGCAATCAAGGTTGCACTTGCATGTTCGGATAGCTGCACGCTGTAATCCTATAGTACCCAAATGCTTTTGTCCTTGCCTTTTCAACGTTCAAGGTCGCACATTTCAGCCTTATCTGGTTGGCAGTAAAAACACCCACAATACTTTTGCCAATTACGCACTAACGAAGTCCGAACTTGCCACGTGTTCGTGAAGATGAAGCCACCATGTGAAGATGTCACATGTGACAAGCCTCCAAATCGGACCAAAAATGCCAACAACCGTACGAATTTGCTGCTCCCCGAGCCTGACGTGGTCCTGAAGAGGTTTGTGCTTGGCGCATATCGAGGCTGACGTGCTGGTTCGTTTTGAAGCTTTCGGTTCGGCTTGCGCAAGCCTGCTCGACTGTTATTTTCTGTACAGTGGAGTACTTCATTTGCTACTGTACATTATTTCGTCTTTCTTACCTGTGCAGGCAGGCACGGCACTGGGAACTACGAGTTCGTTGAGGGGTGGCTAGTCTAGGATTTTCAGCCGAAAAGTGGTGTCTTGGACACTTCACGGACTAGCAGGCTTGTCCTGCCGTGCATGAGGTTTTCCGTCAGCTTGAACTCAAGCCAGCAATGCCTTTCGTTTGAGGGCACTGAGGACTAAGAGTCGCTGAACGCGCCTAGCCGTAGGCATTGTTGTTCGGTCTTATGTTGGGCAGCTAGCTTTTGCCGTTGCTGCGGTATTTTTAGGGACATGATGAAAGACACAGCTGTTGTCGTTCGGTAGTCCGTAAAGCACAAACCGTGCGCTGACGTAAACAGAAATATTTATTTTAGAAGATGCCGAAGCCTCTGCTACGGCACCCATCCAACCCTGTTCCAGACCAATGCCCCCGCGCTCCTCTTCCCGACTCCATACACGAGCTCGCATCGCGCGTCTTCGGTTCCGGGAAGTCCGGAAACAGGAAATTTCTTACCGCGCACAAGGGCACTAAGAATGCCGCGCGGAAAGGCCAGGATGAGGGGGGGACGGCAGGGCAGCGGTTCGTGGCGACGGCGGGGTTCGTGTCGATCGAGGCGGCGTCCGTGATGCAGCAGGCGCTGCGGCTGTGGTCCATGATGAGCCCCGTAGAGATCGAACGGCTCATGACCAGCCTCCAGGTGGGGCCTCCGATGATTCGCCTAAACTGAGAACCTTGACGGGTACGCTTAAAGGCCGCTCGTGCTTCAAACGAAGGCTTTACGCTAGTCCTCGAATGCATGGAGTTAGTATTAATGCTTTTAGTCGAAACTGCCATGCTTCGCGTTTCGAGAGGTCTCGAAACTGCCATGCGTCGCTGGCATTAACCCGCCTCTCTTCTCATGCCTGCTCCCTTCCCTTGCTCATTTTCCCCTGCTCTTCCCGTGTTCCCCCTCATGCTTCTCACCCCCCCTTCGCTCGTATCCGCATGGCAGGACACGGCCCTCATTCTCTTCGTCTGCCACGATCCCGTGCACCTCTGGACGCTCGCTGGTATGTTCGGGCTAGGCGGGCTGTTGCGGTTATGATTGCGTTCGTCGCGAGAGTGATTGGATTCGATGCGGGGTGCAATGTCGTTCCGCGTTTCGTTTTTGACGCAACGCCACTACCAATCCCCCCTTCCTTACCCCCCTCTCTTCCCCCAGGCTTGGACATGACATGACGAGGGCAGAGCGAACCCCCTCCATCACCCCATTCCTCTACTTCTTCCTCCATCCCCCCCCTTCCCCCCCCCCACCCCTCCTCCCCCCAGGGCTGGAGCTGATGGAGAATTTGGAGAAACAGGCGGAGCGGGTGGCGGCCCATTTCACTCCCTCCCCTTCCGCCTCCCACTCCTCCCCCCTTCCCCTCTTCACCAACTCCCCCCCTTTTCCCTCTCGAACAACCCTCCCTTTCCCAAGGCCTGGAGCTGATGGAGATTCTGGAGAAGCTGGCGGAGAGCGTGGCGGCGATGGGCATGAAGAGCGAGGAGAATCGCCTGCACGGAGTGACGGCCCTTTTTACACTCTCTCCCACTCTCCGGCCACTCCCCCCCCCCCACACCCTCCTCCTCCCCCCTTAGGTCTAGAGCTGATGGAGAGTCTGGAGAAGCTGGCGGAGCGGGTGGCGGCGATGGGCATGAAGTGCGAGGAGACGCGCCTGCACGGGCTGGCGTTCTACTTCAACGAGCTGCGCCACCCCGCCTCCCAGTTCCCCGCCTTCCGCCTGCAGCCGGGGGAACAGGAGAGCCTCATGTGGTGCGCGGGTGGGGGGGGGGGGGGAGGGGGGGAGTTTGGTATGGGGAGGAAGTCGCGTGTGGTGGGACGGGTGGGGGAGCGGGAAACGATTGAGCTTCATGTGGTGGGTGGATGGAGGTATTTGAGAGAGGGTGAGAGAGGACTGCCTACACTTGTTGCCCTCTGCGGTCCTCTGCTCTCCCTCTTCTTCCAACCGCCGGCCTCCCTCCCTTCCCCCTATCCCCCTCACCCGTCACCCTCTCCCTCTCGCCTGTGCTGGCCCAGCTACATGAAGGAGCAGGTGGAGCGAGTGGAGGAGCTGCGCCAGTGCATGGAGCGGATCAACACTGTGCGGTCTAGCATCAAGTGAGTGCTCTGATAACGAGTCAGCTAGTGGTGCTGCCTCGAGTAGGTGGTATGTTGTTCTGTCGAATGAGAATCCCATTTCCTCGTGATAAAGGGAAATCGTTGGCTGCATTGCTTTGATTGGTCCGGGTCCTAACACGTCATCGTTCACTGTGACTGCGGATCTTCACTTCTACCGACTAAACCCATAATACTCACTGCATGTATCCTGCCCCTTCCCCCACATCATGGCGTGCATAACATCCCCCATGTTACACGTTACTATGTGACTCTGGCATGAACCGCTCGTGATGGCATGGCATATGATGGCATGACATATGATGGCATGGCTTGATGGCATGGCATATGATGGCATGACATATGATGGCATGGGTTGATGGCATGGCATATGATGGCATGGCTTGATGGCATGGCATATGATGGCATGGCTTGATGGCATGGCAGGAAGATGCAGGGGCTGGTGTCGCAGTCGTCTGCCTCCTCCAACCTACTGGCTGAGCTCGAATCCGTCTCAGAGGACTACGAGCTGGACAACAACGAACCCTCCCAGTGCGTCCCTCCCTCCCACACATGCATGCATGTCTCTCCTCTCCTTGCTGCGCATGCCACCTTCACATGCTCACATGCTCACATGCTCACATGCTCACATGCTCTGCCATGCCTTCACCTTCCCCACTCCTTTGCCTCCTCCAACCTGCTGGCTGAGCTCGATTCCGTCTCTGAGGACTACGAGCTAGACGACAACGACCCCCCCCCAGTGCATCCTCCTCTTATGCATGCATCACTGTCGCACCCTCTTGCTGCCACATCCCTCTCAGTGTCACATGCCACTCCATGCCACTCCATGCCACACATTCCCTCACATGTCTGGTCACATGCCGGTCAACCACATCCATGTACCAACAACAGCATTGCCCCACACCTCTTCCCCCTCTCCCCCAGACCCAGCAGTAGCAGCAAGGCGAGCAGCAACACGAGAAGCAGCGGCAGCGGCAGCGGCAGCAGCAGCAGCAGCAGTGGCAACATGTCTTTACTGCGGGAGATGAGTGACTCATTTGATGATGCGGTGCTGGGCCAGCTGGGCATGGCCAGGACCAACCTGCCCTGCGACATCCCTGGAGGAGAGGAGATCTTTCGATTGGTTAGTCTGCTGCTGTTGCTAGCTAGCCTGTTGTGTCCACAGCGAGTCTGTTTCTAGTGAGTCTGGGCATGGCCAGGACCAACCTGCCTTGCGACTTTTCCGGAGGAGAGGAGATCTTCCGTCTGGTTAGTTGCTGTGTCCAGAGCGAGTCTGACTGCAGTGAGTCTGTTTATAGTGAGTCTAATTGTAGACAGTGTGTTGTCTTTCTCAGAAATGACTTGACTCGCACATCTCTTTTCTAAGTCAATTCAAACGCCTCCACCTCCCGACTCCCCTTCCCTCCCACCCTTCCCCACCTTCGCCTCCTTTTATCCCGTTCCACTCCTTTCTTCCGTCGCTCGCTCTCTATTCTATTATCGCTCAGATGACTCGGCTTACAGAGCTGCAGGCGAGGACGCTCTGGGCAGTGGAGCTGGACCATGTTGTCAGGGTGGGTGGGATAAGGATGAGGGTGGGCGGGGGTGGGATGAGGGCGAGTGGGCAGGATGAGGGCCGTTGAGAGTTTTGTGACAGGGTGAAACGGTTCAATAGAGCTGCAGGCGAGGACGACGCTCTGGGCAGTGGAGCTCGACCATGTTGTCAGGGTGGGTGGGATGAGGGTGTGCGAGTGAGATTATAATGATGGGGTGATTCGCCTTTATGGAAGTGACAGTAAAGGAAGTGGGATGGTAAGGTCAGTTCTCCCCCCTCCCCCCTCCCTTGCCCCATTGCTCTCTTTATCTGCCATCGACGCCCACTCTGACAAGACCCTGTCTGAAAACACCCTTTCTTTTCTCCCTCCCTCACCCCTCCGCTTCCAGATCCTCGTGTTAACCGTCTTCATGATCCGAGACCGCGTGCTCTCCGTGTTCGGAATAGATGCTCACTCCGAGGAGAGCGTGTCGGAGAACGAGACGCTCGGATCCGCGGGTCTGGCGCTGCGCTATGCGCGCATCATCCTGCTGGCGGAGAAGCTCATGAAGTACCCTTTTATGGCCGCTGGTGGCACCAGGTACCGCCTCTCCTCTCTCTTGTGCTCTCTCCTGGCTGGCTGTGGGGCATGCAAAGCGAGTGTGTGGGGCATGGTCAGTTGGGTCTGGCGTTATGCTGTGCGCACATCATCCTACTCGCGGAGAAGCTCATCAAGTACCCTTTTATGGCCACTGGCGGCACCAGGTAACACGTCTCCTCCCTCCCTTATGCGGCATGGTCTGGAGCCTCGCACTGCATTATGCATCATCCTACTCGCGGAGAAGCTCATGAAGTACCCTTTTATGGCAGCAGGCGGCATTAGGTACCTTCTTCCCCACCCCCCATCCGCTCTCTGGTCGCCTGTGGTGCATGGAGGTAGGTAGTGTGGGGTTTGAAGGTAGCGTGGCTGTGGGGTATGGAGAGGGCCTGGCTGGCGCTGCGCTATGCGCGCATCAACCTGCTCGCGGAGAAGCTCATTAAGTACCCTTTTATAGCTGCAGGCGGCATCAGGTACCTTCTCGCTCTCCCTCCGCTCTCCGCTACTCCGCCCTCCCTCTCCTTGCCTCCTTGACTGTCTGTGGCACATGGAGAGAGGGTGTGTGTGGCATGGGCATGGGCCTGGCGCTGCGCTGTGTGCGCATAATTCCGCCAAGCAACCTTTCGAATAAAGTGAAGAAACTCGCCTATTTCTCCCCCTTCCCCACTTCCCTCTCCCCCCGTTTCCCTCCCTTCCTTCCTCCTCCCTCCCTCCCTCCCTCTGCAGAGACGAGCTGTTTGGCATGCTAACCAACGACTTGCGCGCCATCCTAGCAGGCCGCCTCATACCAGTCATGAAGGAGGAGGAGCAGCAGCAGCTCTCCCTCTCACCGCCTCCCTTCTCTTCTCCCCCTCCGTCCCCCTCCCGTCCCCCCCCCCCCAGGGACGAGCTGTTTGGCATGCTAACCAACGACATGCGCACCATCCTAGCAGGCCGCCTCATCCCAGTCATGAAGGAGGAGCAGCAGAAGCGCGAGCAGGAGGAGGAGGCTCGGCGCCGAGCCGGCCTCCCCCGAGCCTCCTCCTCAGACTCGGACGAAGACGAGGACGGGTTTGTTTGGCTCGGGGGCAAGGGGGGGGCAGCGGGAGGAGCGGGCGCAGCAGGAAAGGGAGGAGGGCAGGGAGGGAAGGGAGGGAAGGGAGGGAAGGAAGGAGATGATGAGGAGGAAGCGGAAGCGCCGTGGGAGCGGAAACTCAAGTGGGGAATGGAGTTTCTACCCACCCTCGCTCGCAACACAATCACCTTTTCCGAGCTCAACTCCATCCGGAAAACCTCAGTCACAGCCACGAACCACGTGTTGCGAGTCCAAACGCTCTTCCACGCGCAAAAGGACGCCGTCAGCGCCACCCTAATCGACTCTCTTGAAGGCCTCTCGCTCCTCGTTGCATCTGATCCGTCCAATACCACGCAGATCCAATCGAAGAAAGCCGCTGCTCTGGCTGCCGCACGGGCAGAGAAAGCGCAGGCGAAGTCGGGCGAGCCGCGGCAAGTGCTTGTAACGGGGATATTTAAAGCGAAGCGGACAACGAGTTGCAGCCCCACGGACGGGATTGGCAGCTCGCCGCTGCTGCTGTCGCAGTCGTCTCTCTCCTCCTCCCTTCTCTCCTCTTCCTCCTCCGTTGCTCCCTCTGCGTCGCCCTTTAGGTCTTCGTCTGCCTCTGCTGCTGTCCTGGCTGCTGCTGTGGGGGTAGATGGGAGGGACTCTGCTGCTGCTGCTCTTCGGGCGATAAGAGGGGGAGGGGGAGGGGGAGGGGGAGGGGGAGGGGGAGGGGGAGGGGGAGGGGGAGGGGGAGGGGGAGGGGGAGGGGGAGGGGGAGGGGGGAAAGGAGGGGGGGTTGTGAAGATGCCGTTTGTCAAGGGAGGTAAGCAGGCAGGCGCTAAGGGTGCTGCTGCAGTGCCTGCTGGGAAAGCTGCTGCTGGGGGGCCTGGTGGGGGGAAGGTTCCAGGAAAGGTGAAGCCGCTTTGGGAGGAGAATACAGACGAACAAGATTTAGTGAGATCGGTGCTGTCGACCTGCCAAGAGGAGAGAGCAGGGGACGAGAAGGGAGGAGTGGGGAAAAGAGAGCAGGTGTGGGCGAGAGAGAAAGGAGGCAGGATGATGCTGCGTGGAGGGTCGGAGAAAGAACGGAAAGGAAAGGCCGTGAAACCATTATGGGAAGAGGACACGGACGACGAGGATTTAGTGAGGTCTGTGACTCTACCTGCGAGGAAGGACGGAGTTGGGAGCAAGGAGGGGCAGGAGGGGGGAGGGGAGGAGGGCGGGAAGAAAAAAATGCTATGGGAGGAGGATTCGGACGATGAGTCGCTGGTTCGTGCGGTAACCGCATCTGCTACCACCGTTTCTGCAGCCGTTACAGCTGCTGGTGTAGGCAGAGGGACTGGGGGGGCTGCAGGTGCTAGTGGGGGAGGGAGAGGTGCAGGTGGCGGGGAAAGAGGTGGTGGAGGGGTGGGGGGTAGAGGTGCTAGTGGTGGGGGTAGCGGGGCTGGGGGGGGGGGGAGGGGGGGAGAGGGGCAGGCGGGGGGCAGAAGAAGGTGCAGCCTCTGTGGGAGGAGGATTCTGATGATGAGAGCTTGGTCCGTGCCGTCACCGCTGCTTCTTCTGCCCCTGCTGCTACTTCTGGTGGCAATGCTGGGGGTTTGCGTTCGTCGGTGCAACCGGTGACGCCTCAAGGAGGTCGCATGCAGCGCTTGCATGCGGCGAAATGGGCAGACGAGCGAGGGGCTCGAGAGGGTGGGGAGCGGGGAGAATGGGGAGAACGGGGAGAACGGGGAGAACGTGGGGACGGAAGAGAAGGGCGAGATGGGCAGGAAAGACGAGACGCTCGCATGCAGCGGCTGGATGCAGCGAAATGGGCAGAGGGGCGAGAGGGGATAGAGCGGGGTGAGCGGGTAGACAGAAGAGACGGACGAGACAGGCAGGAAAGGCGGGAGCCTCACATGCAGCGGTTGGACGCAGCGAAATGGGCAGAGGGGCGCGAGGGGGGAGACGGGCGAGATTCGAGAGACGGTAGGGACGGGAGAGACGGAAAAGGAGGAGGAGGAGGGGGTGGGGAAGCGAGAGGAGGGGGAGGGGGAGGAGCGAAGGGAGAGAGGGGAGGAGCGAAGGCTAGGCCGCTGTGGGAGGAGAATGCAGAGGACGAGGACATGGTGAGGGCCGTTGCTGTGCCCACTCCCCGCTCCGCCACCCCCCCTCCCCGCTCTGCCACCCCCCCTCCTGTGGTACCAATAGCCTCTGGTTGGGGAGTGGGAGGGAGAGGGGATGCAGGGACGGGAGGGAGGGTGGGGGAGAGGGCAGGTAGGAGGGCGGAAGGGAGAGGTGATGGGAGGGTGGATGGGAGGAGGGGAGAAGGGGCGGAGGAAGGGATGGAAGGAGGGATGGAGGTGGGGCGGAAGGGAAAAACAGAATACATGCGTTTGGCAGAAGAAGGAGAGGGCTGGGAGGAAGGGGAGGAGGAGTGGGAGGAGGGAGAGGAATGGGAAGGAGAAGAGGAAGAGGAGGAATGGGAAGGGGAAGAGGGTGAGGAGGAATGGGAAGGGGAAGAGGAAGAGGAGGAACATTATGAGCCTGCTGCGAGGGCCGGGCAGGCGGGCAGAAAGGAGGGAACGGGTGGGTTCAAGCAGCAACCGACAGCGCAGGATGAATGGCAGAGGCAGCAAGAGGCACAGGAGGCGTGGGAGCAGGAGCAACTGGAGCAGGAGAAGTGTGAGCTGGAGGAGTATCAGAGGCAGCAGCAGAGGCAGGTGCAGCAGAAGCCGAATCAGCGTGTCACTTGGGATCAGCAGCGCTCACAGGAGGAATTTGAGGAGGAATATGAAGGAGATGAGGAGGAGTATGCAGAAGAGGAAGAGGAGGAAGAAGAGCCGGTGGTGCCCGTGAGAGCAATGGCCCGAGCAGCCACTGCACCCACATCCCGCCTGGATAAAATCTCCAAATCAGTGAGTGCTGATGCCGCAGGGAAGAAGAAGAGTGGAAAGAAGGCCGCACTGCAGCGGGTGGCTTCTGAGTCCACCACTTCTGACCTGTATGCATCGGGTCCGCAGAAGCCCTCTTTTGAATCGCCTCAGAAGGGGCGGGGAGCAGGAGGGTTTGCCGCTGGCTCGTATGAGGGCGCTCAGAAGTCGCCTGGTGTGGGTCGGCAGCAGCGGCAGATGCATGTGCACTGGGATGAGAGCGTGGGGGCTGATAGGGGCGAGCGAGGGCAGAGAGGGGAGAGATGGGAGGGAGAAGCTTTGGAGGGGCAGAGGCTGGGCGCAGTTTCATCATCGGAATCGGCTGGTTCAGGGAAGGAAGGCAAGAAGGGGAAGGCCGGGAAAAAAGGGTCCCAGGAGGGGAATGCAGAGGGGGATAAGGGGGAGAGGGGAGAGAGAGCGGCAGGGGAGGGAGGAACAGGGAAGAAAAAGCAAGGTGGGGAGGGGAAGAAGGCTGGAAAGAAAGTTGCACAGAAGGGTTTGGCACAGCAGGGGGGTGGAGGAGTGGAGGAGGAGGAGGATGGGCTAGGAAGGACTGTGAGTGCTGTATCTTCTGCCTCCCGCTCTTCCTCTGGCACATCGTCATCGTCTGCGAAAGGTGAGCGGAAGAAAGGGGGTGAGAAGGAGGGCGGGAAGAAGGGTGGGAAGAAGGCGGGGCAGAGCCCCCAGCCGCAGGTGGCAGTGTGGGAGGGGGACGAGGAGGAGGAGGGGCTGGTTAGGGCTGGATCTTCTGCTGGTGGTGCTGCTGCTGGTGCTGGGAGGAAGGAGAAATCAGGTAAGAAGAAGGAGAGAGAGGCGAAGAAGAGGCAGCAGGAGCTGCAGGAGCAGCAGGAGCGGCAGCGGCAGCAGGAGTTGCAGGAAGAGTTGCAGTGGCAGCTGCAGCAGGAGAAGCGGCAGCGAGAGGAGGAGGAGGCGGAGGAGGAGCGGCAATGGCAGCTGCAGCAGCAGCAGCAGCAGTTGCTTCAGCAGCAGGAGCAGGAGAGGCGAATATCAGCAGCTGGTAGGAAGGGTCGAGCAGGGGCTGGGAACACAGACCGTGCCTCTTCTCCTGCCTCTGCCTCCCGTTCGCCCCACTCCCCTTCCCCCTCCACTCGCACTGCCAACACCAGCACTCGCGCCCAGGCAAGCCGCTATGCAGGTGTGCAAGACAGGTATGAGGAAGAGGAGGAGGAGGAAGAGGAGGAAGAGGAGGAAGAGGAGGAGGAAGAGGAGGAGGAGGAGGTGGAGAGTGAGAGGTACAGAGGGAGGATGGAGGAAGGGAGTATAGATTTCGATGCCTCTCACCAGGAACTCGCCTTCGGAGCAGGTCAGGGGCGGCAGGAGCAGAGAGGGGTGGTGGGGGGAGGCAGTTTGGACTTCGACGCTCCCCAACACGAGCTGCCCTCTCCCTCTCAAATGCCGTCGGGAGGGCTGTTTGCTGCACGGCAGCAACAGTGGCAGCAGCAGCAGCAGCGGCAGCAGCAACAAGAACAGCAGCAGAAGCAGAAACAACAGCAGCAGGCAGCAGTGCCGGCATCACGAAACCAGTACTACAATGATGATGATGATGATGATGATGATGATGAATATGAGGGTAACGCACATGATGAGTGTGGTGGTGCTGCTGGTGGCAGGGACGCTGGCAGGGGCGACGGCAGGGGCGGATGGGACCAGGAATACGAGTATGAAGACGAGGAGGAGGCTTTGAAGGGAGAGGATGCGGAGGAATGGGACGAGGAGGCCGAAGAGGAATTCTATAACCAAGGAGCGGGGAGAGAAGCAACGGGAGCGGGTGGTGCCGTTACGTCTCTATCTCCCTCTGCTGCTGCCTTCTACCTGGCTACAACATCCTCCTTTGACCATGAAGACCCAGTTGACTCCACCTCCCCAGCGCCCTCCTCTGATTTCCCCCCTCCGAGACCATCCCCGCGGCAAGCCCCTCGCTCGCCCTCTGCTTATGCTCCACCTCCCTCCTCCTCTCTAACTGATGCTGCTCCTGCTGGTGCTGGGGGAGCTCCTGCCGGTGCTGGTGGTGCTGCTGCTGGTGGTGCTGGTGCTGCGAAGAAGGAGCGGTCAAAGTCCCCTCTAGCTCGGCTGAAGCGCTCCCTCTCCCCTCTCTCTCGTAGGCATGCCTCCCCTGGTAAATCAGGCTCAGCAGGTAATAGCACTGCTGCAGCTGCAGCTGCAGCGGTGGCTGCTGCCGGTGGCAGCAGCATGGGCTCTTTCTCCGAGCTACAGTCCCAACCGAGCCTGTCATCAGGCTCGATCAGCAGCTCGCCGAGCCAGTCCATGGTTCGGCAGTCCCCGAGCCTGTTGATGCTGGATCGGGTCTCCCCAACCAACTCAATGGAGAGAAGGACTCCCCAGGAGCGGGGTGGTTTGGATCGGGACCGAGGGTCAATGGAAAGAACACCTGTGGAAAAGAGATTGTTCGACCGCCACTCCTCCTCCCCTTCCCATGACCGAATCTGGTCTCCCCGTCACTCCTCTGGGATGGGTCAACAGCAGCAGCAGGTGGAGGGGTCAGCTTCACCTGATCTTTCTGGGTCTCCTGATGTTCATGCAGACGGCAGGTCTATTGGAAGGGAGGGTGGCTCGAGCTTCCGATCCTCCCTTGCTGCCGTGCTGATGTCGCCTCCGATCCTGCGCGGCAGCGCCGGGGGCAGCGCCTTCCCAACCTCCAGCTCAGCCTCGGAAGCATCGTCCCGTCACCAGCACAAGGGGGGAAAAGTCCTGCCGAACCTGCTCCGGCTGAACCTGAAAAAGGACAGGGGAGAGGGGCGGGATAGTCAACCAGGCACCCCACCGTCCCCTCTGCTAGAGCATGTGCTGAAAGGCTATCCAATGAGCAACTATAATGTGATCCCAAGGGGCTTGTCTGAAGATTCGTCTGTTCAGGCGTATGAGAGGGGTGGGGAGGGGAGTGAGGGCAGCAGCAGTGGGCGGCTGAGTGGGGAGGATACGAGAGAGTGGGAGGAGGGGAGGAGGGGATTCGATGCGAGGGGGAGTGACAGGGAAAGGGCTGCCTCTTCAGGGGATGCTATTCGCAAAACGAGCTCGTATGAGAGGGGTGGGGCAAGGAGTGAGGAATCAGGGGTGGGTGCCAGGGGTGGGATTCGATCTCCGATCCTCAAGCCAGCTTCAACTGAAGAGGAGGCGTTTTTTGAGCGGGCAAGGCAGGAGGAGGAGCGACTAGCACGAGAGAGAGGGGGCAGTGACGGTGGTGGTGGAGGGGGAGGAGGGGAAGAAGGCGGGGTGAATGATTCCTGGTTGAGGGAGGATGTGACAGCAGTACCAGCTTTAAGTCCTATGAAAATTGCACCGAGTGCCTTCAGTAGAAGGATCAGGGGAAGAGGGAGGGGAGGGATTGGGGGGAGAGGAGCCCCCCTTCTTTCTCCTGTGGGTTCAGTCGCTACTGGTGCTGGCGCTGGCGCTGGCGCAGGAGCTGGCGCTGGCGCTGGCGCTGGTGTTGGTGCTGGTTTGGCATCCACAATCAGCAGTGCCAGCAGCGGCAGCACCGGCACCAGCAGCAGCGGCACGGACACTAGTGGAAGCAGCAGCAGCAGTAGCATTGGCCTGGGCAGCAGCGGCAGCAACAGCAGCAGTGTTAGCGCCACAGGGGGTGAGACGACTGGGGCGGGTGGCGGGGTGGGGAGGGGAGGGTTTGGCGGAGGGCGCGGTAGGATGAACAGCAGGAGGCGTAGCATTGTGAATGCAAGGCTTCATGCCCAGAGGGAAGGGGGAGGTGGGGGTGGGAATGGGGAGGGAGGGGAGGGGGGAGGTGAGAAGACTGAGTTTGAGTTTCAGGGTATGGGGGGGAGAAGAGCAGTGAGGAAAGCTCCTCCAATTGCAGAGGGGGAGGAAAGGAGGAAGGGAGAGGAGAGTGAGGAGGAAGAGGACGAGGAGGGCGTATGGCAGAGGAACGACCCAATCCAAGCGTTTTGAGGCATGATGGTGCAGTATCGTCCAGCCTAGACGTTTTGAGGTAATGACACATCCAAAATCAACTATATCAAGCAGAGTTAGGTTAGCCGAGAAGTTTGGGTGATTGGCACAGCAGAGTTAGGCAAGTGCATTGGTATAATATTGCATCAAGCACTTAGGAGAGCTTCGGTCCTGAGCAACGGTGAAATGCATATTGGCTGTGGATAAATGTTTGTACCGAAGATTGGTGTGAGGAAGCAGGGGATTGCTGGTGGGTGGGATTTTTAGCAACGGCAAGCGAGTTGGTGAATTCCTGGCAGCTGTGTCATAGTATCCCTGCCAGGGAGCACTTGTAAAGATGTTCCTCTATTGAGATCCCCTTTTGTCATAGAATCTGATTCTAGCCATAAAATGCAACGGTACTTCATGCATGTCATTTTTTCATTGGCTCGCATCTCAAATTTCACCCAATTCCCAAAGTTTCCTGCCGTTCCAAGAGTCAAACCATTCCAAAGGGCGACACCCATATCCTACTCGGTTCAGGGAGCCCCATACTGACACATTAACAACTTCATGCTGTATCGAGTATGAAGTTTGAGACCAATCATCAGCACCACCCTCGGGCTACTCAGATCGCCTTCCTGGAGTGTCCGGACACGGACAGCCCCAAAAGTGCATCTCTCTAGGTCCAACCTGGCAGCTCACCGACTCTTGTATGTGCGACTGTTGAGAAATTGCGAAACTTCTTGCCCAATCATTACTGACTGCTCGACTCCATCTACAATATGCGATCGCATATCAGCAGGTTTGACGGCGGATATGTTGTACTGTACTAGTTTGATCGTGTGGGGCCTTCGCACGTAGGTAGCCTCTGAACAATTGCGACGTCCAGATTCGTCTAGCCTCCACCTCATCACAAGGCCTATCCAATTGCACGTGCCAAATGCACTTTTCGCTGTCCCCACTTCATGTCCGGACACCCCAGGAAGGCGATCTCATTTTCAAGTTTCACCCGTTCCACGGCAATCCCAGGTTTGCTGATCACACATCAGCAGAGAGAGGGTCGGTATTCCCAAGGCCAAGCTGCGATTACGATTCGCAGGCACGGGTCGCTGCTTGCCACGTGGGAAGTCGAAAGGGTTCCCGTCGGACTACCGTATTTTACTTCTTTACCCGGCGGTCCAAGCTCCTTTTTGCTGCTGCCACGTCAGCACTGAAAAATGGCGACGATGACGTCAGCCCACAGAGGCCTTACAGCGCTTCCTACCGCGCAAAACGCGGGACCCGGTGAAGCCTCTCGTTGTCCACGAGTTGTTTCAACCGCATTCTGCGGTGCAATGGAGATTAAGTCCGCTTCCTCGAGTGTGGTAGGACGGCCGCTTTCAGTGGCTGTTTCCCGCGCTCGCAGCGGCCACAGACGAGGCGGCGCGTTGGCGACAACGTGCTCGTCGCAGAGCGTTTCGGAGAAATTCGCAGAGCTTCGTGCGAAGAATGAAGTGAGTAGGCGGTTTCGCACTATGACGAGGGTTTCGGGTATAGTCACATCGCGATACCAGAACGGTCAGCTTGACTGCCTCAATCGCAATTGGCCGTTTCGATCTAAAGACCTGATGGCCTCATCCTCTAGGGTAGGCTCAATCCCGTTTCGCCATCCAACGCGGTCCCGTCCAGCGACATGCTGGTCGCAGCCCACACTGAGCGTATAATTCCGTGTCCTTCCACCCCCTCCCTTCGCCAACTCTTCTCACCTTCTTGCCTTTTCTCTGTCCCCCGCTCCCCTGCTAACCCGCGATTGAAGTGCATTTCATTTCCCTCGATTGCAGTGCATGAAACCCCCTCTCTCCCACTTCCCCCCTCCCCCCTCGCATCTCCTAACTCTCCTCCCCCCCATCCGCTCTCGCCCTCCCCAACCCCCCGCACGCGCCCACATGGTGTGTCGCCTCGCTCGTCGCATTCTCTTCCCCGTGCCAATCGCCGCAGGTGGCGCTTATCCCCTTTATAGTCGCGGGGGACCCCGATATGGGCACCACGGAGCGCGCGTTGAAGCTGCTGTGCGAAACGGGCGCTGACGTCATCGAGCTGGGCGTCCCCTACTCGGACCCGCTCGCTGACGGGCCCGTTATCCAGGTACACTCCATCCCCGTTATGAGCAGCTCGCCTGGTGGCTGCAAGTCTGTAAAGTGGCATGAGTGTATGAGTGCATATCTTCAGCTTGCTAAGGCCTTTTACTTTCTTAATGTAACGAAATGGCCTACCAAGTGTGTGTGATTATACGTGTTTGCTTGCTTGTTTATTTTCTTGCGTGTTCTTGTATCGCAGGCATCAGCCACCCGAGCCCTGGCGAACCGCACGGACTTGCAGTCAGTCATTGACCTCCTCACGCGGGTATGCCTGCCAACCCCCTCTCTCTCCCCTTCCCTCCCCCTCAACCGTCTCCGCTTCCCCTCCCCCTCAACCCGACTCCACTCCCCCTTCCACCCTCCGACTCACTCCGCCACTGTTTGCCAATCGTGACTCGCTTCGGTTTAATCTGGCCCTCACTCACTCACTCACTCACTCACTCCCACCAACATCTCCTCTGCACCTACCACTCACCCCCCTCCCTCACTCCAGGTCACCCCCTCCCTCAGCGCGCCCATCGTCCTCTTCACCTACTATAATCCCATCATGAAGCGCGGCGCTAACAAGTTTATGGGGAATCTGAACCCGCCCCTCACCCACCTTTCTCCCTCCTCCGTCCTCCCTCCCTCCCCACCCCCCCCCCTTCCAGGTCACCCCCTCCCTCAGCGCGCCCATCGTCCTATTCACGTACTACAACCCCATCATGAAGCGACTCTCTGACCAAGCTCATCCCCCCGCTTTCCTCTCCCGCCCGTTCAGGTCACCCCCTCCCTCAGCGCGCCCATCGTCCTCTTCACCTACTACAACCCCATCATGAAGCGCGGCGCCAATAAGTTTATGGGGGAGATTAAAGCTGCCGGGGCAGCAGGCATAGTGGTGCCGGACGTGCCTCTGGAGGAGACTTCCGTGCTGCGGGAACTGGCAACTGCTAACGGGCTCGAGCTGGTGAGCAACGGGTTGCAGGCATGATGCGTGGTGGTGGTGGTGGGTTGGCAGCAGTTCTGACTCATAGTGGTGCAGCACGTGCCTCTGGAGGATACTCAGGTGCTTCGAAAGTTTGCTACTGCAAACGGGCTCGAACTGGTGAGTATGAGTGAACGTGTCTGGTGAGAATTGGTGAACTTGTCTGGTTGGGATTGGTGAGGAGGACCTGAGTAGTGGCAGGAATAGCGGTGCCGGACGTGCCTCAGTACGAGACTCAGGTGCTGCTGCGGGAGCTGGCGGCTGCTAACGGGCTCGAACTGGTGAGGAGGAGGACTGCTGAACCTGCTTGGTGATCGAGCTTTGGGACATCGCAGAACTCAAATGCCTTTTGGTCCCGCACTCAAATGCCTTATGGTTCAGCACTCAAATGCCTTATGGTTCAGCACTCAAATGCCTTATGGTTCAGCACTCAAATGCCTTATGGTTCAGCACTCAAATGCCTTATGGTTCAGCACTCAAATGCTTGTTGCTGGTCTAGCAGCCGGCAGGCATTGTGGTACCAGACGTGCCTCTGGAGGAGACTCAGGTGCTGCGAGACTCAGGTGCTGCGAGAGCCAGCGACTGCTAACTTCCTCGCGCCTCTGTCCCGCTCTCTCCCCCTCTTTCTCCCCCCCCCCCCCCCCTCTCCTCCTCTCTCCACACACAGGTGCTGCTAACAACGCCCACCACCCCCACAGAGCGAATGGGAGCCATTGCTGACGTCACCCAAGGCTTCCTCTACCTTGTAAGCATGACCTTAGAGTCGAGTCAAAGGTCACCCAAGGCTTCCTCTACCTTGTAAGCATGACCTTAGAGTCGAGTCAAAGGTCACCCAAGGCTTCCTCTACCTTGTAAGCATCTGCCTTTCTTCACTCCTCTTCACCTCCGCGGCTCCGCCCTGTCTCCTCTGTCCCTTCTCCTCCGCATCTTCTCCCCTCCCTGCTCTTTTCCCTCACCTCAACTTCTCCCTCGCCCCCCTCCCTCCCGCATGTGATGTGCTGTCTCTTCGGCTCTTCCCTCCGTCCTTGCTGATGTTATCTCCTATTATCCCTCAACATTGCATAGGGCAGCAAATACCCTGTTCCATTTCCGTTGCCGCTACATGCTTGTATGCTTGCATGCGTACATGTGTGATTCGTGACTGCCTTTGTTTTGTGTTCATGCGTGACTGTATCGCAGGTGAGTCTAACGGGAGTGACGGGCGAGCGGGCGGCAGTGCAGGGGCGGGTGGAGCAGCTGCTAAAGGACATCAAGGCCACCACAGACAAGCCTGTCGCTGTGGGATTCGGCATCTCTGCCCCTGAGCATGCTGAGCAGGTGTGTGTGTGTGTGTGGTGAATTAGTGAACGGCTGAGCCTGCTCGCAGAGCAGTGCAGGGGCGGGTGGAGCAGCTGCTTAAGGACATCAAGGCCACCACAGACAAGCCTATCGCTGTTGGATTCGGCATTTCCACCCCTGAGCATGCTGAGCAGGTGTGTTTGACACATGGATAAGTACTTGAATCTGACTCAGCAGGCAGTGCAGGGGCGAGAGGAGCAGCTGGTACAGGGCTTAAAGGCCGCCATAGACAAGCCCGTTGCTGTGGGCTTTGGCATTTCTGCGCCTGAGCATGCTGAGCAGGTGCGTCTATGTGATGAATGAGTGAATGAATGAGTGAATGAATAAGTGAGTACAGTGGATGGATAAGTTCATGCCTTAGTCTGCTCATGTCTTTGTCTCTCCTTACCCTTCTTCCCACGTGCCTCTTCCCATCTCCCGCTCCCCCCTCCAGGTGGTTTCATGGGGAGCAGACGGGGTAATCGTGGGGTCAGCGTTGGTGAAACTGCTGGGGGGCAGTGAGACGGCAGAGGAGGGGCAGAAGGAGATCATACCCCTCCCTTGACCCCCACCCCACTCACACAGCCTCTTCTTTTGCCCTTTTTGCCCCTGCTGCCTGTACACCTTGTCCCCCCACCAGGTGGTTTCATGGGGAGCAGACGGGGTAATCGTGGGGTCAGCGCTGGTGAAGCTGCTAGGGGGCAGTGAGACGGCTGAGGAAGGGCTGGCAAAGGTCGGTGCTCTAATGCGGTCGCTCAAAGCAGCAACAGCTAAGAATCTGCAGACGGCTTAGAAGTTCTTGTCCTTCAAGCTTCTGGGGGGAAGCGAAACGAGACGGCAGAAGGGAGGGGCTGGCAAAGGTCGGTGCTCTCATGCGGTCCCTCAAAGCAGCAACGGCCCGCAACCTGCAGACGGCATAGGCACTCCTGATGCTAGGTGGCAAACAAAAATAATATCATTTCATGAAGAAACTCAAAACAGCTCAAAGCACCTGTTGCTCACGAGCTGCAAGTGGCGCAAGTGTTGCAAGGCAACCTGCTGCTGTGTATCTCAGTTGTCTTGTGATGATAAATATCACAATGTGCCTGAACAAGTGATTGCCTCATACACAACCACCAATCGCTGCTGGTCATCACATGAAGCCCATAGATAAACCTAGGGCGCGGCACCTCTGGCGGTAGCCAGCAGTTCGAGCGTCCGAATTCTGGGGGTTGAGTTTGGTACAGTACGTTTTGGAAAACAGCCAGTCTGGTTTAGTACGGTGCACGTTCGAACAGGCCCATTCGAACGTCCAAGGTGACTTCATCATTGGGCCATCACATCTCCGCTCCACTACCCGCAGCCTGAATTACAAAAAAGGGTTGGGGGTGTTAACACTTTCCCACCCGAACCTGGGTGGTAACCAGGGTTCCAACCAGTTTGCCGTGAGGAAGTCGCACGCAACACAGGGAACGATCGCAAGGCTCCCTGGCAACGACTTCGGCTGGAGGTGTGCACACCAAGCAGGAAGTTGTAATTCAGGTCGACAGAAATCGACCAGTTCCTAGCCTACTATTAGCCTGACGTTCTGCATAGAACAAAATTTTACTCACCAACTACGGCAATCTCAACCGCGATCCGTGCTCGTTTAGACGCTCTCCCGTCACATTAGGGTTACTCCCTCCCGTCGATTAGGATTCATTTCCGCAACCGTGGGAGCACGCTAACATCCCGACCGTCGCCTTAGCTCTTTCCACGCCGTCGTCCCATCTATCACCCTCCCGTCGTTTACGCTCACACCCCTTCCGCCAGCCATGCGCCTTCCTTCCCGTCGTGTTCGCTCCCTCATCTTCCGCTGCCCACGCGCACTCACTCACGCCGTGCCCACTCACTCCCCATCCTCCTCCCACGCTCACTCCCTCCCGTCGCCCACACTCACGCCCCATCCGCCTCCCACGCTAACTCCCTCCCGTCTCGCTCGCTCACTCCCCTTACGCCGACGCTCACTCCCTCCCTTCGCGCTCGCTCCCTCCCCTCGCCGCCAACGCGCACTCCCTCCCGTCGCCCACGATCAAGCACCCCCGTCACTCACGCTCCCATCAACCCGTCGCCCACGCTCACTCCCGTTGCGTCGCACACCGTCTACTCCCTCCCGTCGCCAACTGCCTCCCGCATCTCCGCCTCACCGCCTCACCCCATCTCCTCCTCCCCGCAGCTTTGTATTCGCGAGCACTCCCTCCCGTCGCGCGCAAATACGTCCCGTCCGCCGTCGACGCTCTCTCCCTCTCACCGCGTTCTCTCACTCCCCACCTGTCGCGCTGGTTCCCGCACACGATTACTCCCCTTGAGGGGAGACCATCACTTTTCCTCGCTCCGCCTCGCGATTCCCTCTCGCCGCCCACGCTCTCCCCTCCCCGCCGCGCACGCTCGCCCCCCATCCGTCGCCCACGCTCACTGCCCGTGCTCCGAACACGCGCACTTCCCTCCGTCTCCCACGCGAATCCCCCTGCCCCTCCTTCTCTTATTCCCCTCCGTCGCCAATGCGTCTGAAACCACCCTCCCCATCCCGCATCTCTCCATTCCGCCTCTCCCATTCCGCCTCTCCCATTCCGCCTCTCCCATTCCGCCTCTCCCATTCCGCCTCTCCCATTCCGCCTCTCCCATTCCGCCTCTCCCATTCCGCCTCACCCATTCCGCCTCACCCATTCCGCCTCACCCATTCCGCCTCACCCATTCCGCCTCACCCATTCCGCCACTCCCATTCCGCCTCCCCCATTCCGCCTCTCCAATTCCGCCTCACCCATTCCGCCTACCCCATTCCGCCTTTCCCATTCTGCCTCTCCCATTCCGCCTCACCCATTCCGCCTCACCCATTCCGCCTCACCCATTCCGCCACTCCCATTTCGCCGCACCCATTCCCCGTCACCCATTCCGCCTCTCCCATTCCGCCTCACCCATTCCGCCTGGCCAATTCCGCCTCCCCCATTCCGCCTCTCCCATTCCGCCTCTCCCATTCCGCCTCTCACTTCCTCCAATCATCACTTCCTCCAATCATCACTTCCTCCCATCATCACTTCCTCCAATCATCACTTCCTCCCATCATCACTTCCTCCAATCATCACTTCCTCCCATCATCACTTCCTCCAATCATCACTTCCTCCCATCATCACTTCCTCCAATCATCACTTCCTCCCATCATCACTTCCTCCAATCATCACTTCCTCCCATCATCACTTCCTCCCATCATCTCTTCCTCCTTTCCTGCATTCCTCCCTTCCGCCCTCCCCCCCTTTTTTCGTCCGTCGCACACGCGCACTCCCATCCGACGCGCACGCACACTCCCCTCCGACTCGCACGCTCCCTCCCCTCTCGTCGCACACGTGCGCTCTCTCCTCTCCTCCCCGTCCATCACCACGCCATCCCACATGTCCCCATCCCTCACCTCCAGAGGAATCACTTCTCTGGACTTCCTCTCCCACTCCCCTCTCCTCTCATTCCTTACCCTGCTCTCTCCCCTCACCCTCCTCCCTTTCCCCTCGCGCCGCCACTCCCGCCGTGATTCTCCTCCACCCCATTCCGCCCCACCCCATTCCGCCCCACCCCATTCCGCTCCTTCCCATTACGCTCCTTCCCATTCCGCCCCACCCCATTACGCTCCTCCTCTCCCCATCCCTCCACTTGCCATCCGTCCTCTCCCTATCCGTCCACTCCCCATCCAACCTCTTACCATCCGTCCTCTCCCTATCCTTCCTCTACCTATCCTTCCTCTCCCTATCCTTCCCCGCCCTCTCCTTCCCCTCCCTATCCGTCCTCTCCCTATCCGTCCTCTCCCTATCTGTCCCCACCCCATCCGTCCTCTCCCCATCTTATCGTCTCCCCATCCGTCCTTTCCCCGTCCGATGCTCTCCCCCTCCCCTCCAGGTGTTTCCCACACTGTCCTCGGCATTGCGTTCACCGGGGAGCTGCTTGGGGCGCTGTGGGCGGACGGCGGCGGGCAGAGTCGCGCAACAAAGGCATACGTTGTGCTGCAGGGATCCCTTCCTGCATTCCGCCCTTCCGCCCTCCCTCACATCCTATCTCACTCCCTCCCTTCTTGCTTCACGCTACGTCCCCTTCGTCTCTGATGTGCACACACCTTGAAGGATTACGCTCAATCCCCTCACGCCCTGGCCTATCCCCTCACTCCGCCCTGTCCTATACCCTCACCCCACCCTGTCCTCACCCCATCTCCACCACACCCCACCTCCTCCTCACCCCATCTCCACCACACCCCACCTCCTCCTCACCCCATCTCCACCACACCCCACCTCCTCCTCACCCCATCTACTCCTCACCCCATCTCCTCCACACCCCATCTTGACCACACCCCATCTTATCGTCCCACCCCACTTCGCTTTCCCCCATCTCCTATGGCACCCCACCCCAACCCGCTTCTCCCCATCCCCGCCCCACCCCACTCCGCCCTGGCCCACTCAGCCCCACCCATACCGCTCCACCCCATCTCAACCGCAGGGCATTCCGCCCTGCCCCATCTCAAGGTTACCCCTTTCCGCCCCACCCATATCCACCCCACCCCATCTCCTCCACACCCCATCTCCTTCACACTCCATCTCCTTCTCACCCCATTTCCTCCACACCCCATATCCTTCTCACCCCATCTCCTCCTCACCCCATCTCCGCCCCACCCCACTCCCCATTCCACCAACTCCGCCCCACCCCACTCCGCCTGGCCCCACGTACGCTGCACCCCATCTCAAGAGTGCCCCATTCCGCCCCACCCCATCTCAAGAGTGCCCCATTCCGCCCCACCCCATCTCAAGAGTGCCCCATTCCGCCCCACCCCATCTCAAGAGTGCCCCATTCCGCCCCACCCCATCCCAAGGGTTCCCCATTCCACCCCACCCCTCCAAATCCCCCCATTCCACCCCACCCCTCCAAATCCCCCCATTCCACCCCACCCCTCTAAATCCCCCCATTCCACACCACCCCTCAAAATCCCCCCATTCCGCCCCACCCATATCCACCCCACCCCATCTCCGCCACACCCCATCTTATCGTCCCACCCCACTTCGCTTTCCCCCATCTCCTATGGCACCCCACCCCAACCCGCTTCTCCCCATCCCCGCCCCACCCCACTCCGCCCTGGCCCACTCTGCCCCACCCATACCGCTTCACCCCATCTCAACCGCAGGGCATTCCGCCCTGCCCCATCTCAAGGTTACCCCATTCCGCCCCACCCATATCCACCCCACACCCTCTCCGCCCCACACAATCTCTGCCTCCCGCTTGTCTCCCCCATACCCTCGATCCTATTTTCCCCCAAAGCTTTCCCTTGTTTCCCCCCTACACGCCCCCACACCCCGTTCTGCAGCTGCATCCAGAATAGCCCGCCACAGCAGCGGGTGTGGATGCAGATGGGGGTCACAAGGTGAGGCACACCGCTGTCAGATGCACTGTTGTGTGGGGCTGTTCTCTGCCCAGCTCTGCTCTGTGGCCCTGCGGTGCTGTGCTGTGGTCCGCGTTGCACACACCCCTCCTCCCCCTTCTCATATCCTTTGTTCCCCTCTTTCTGTCTCATCCCAATCGCCACCAGGTGGCTGTGCAATGACTCGAGATCAAGAGCTCCGTTCGTGGACCATCGTTATATGATACTAGCATGTTCCATCATCTACGCACTAACTTGATTACCCGCGTGGCTCATGCGTTGTCCATCTCACAATATAGCTTGATCGAAACCATTGGGTATCGCGAATATGCCGAAGGCGTAGGGTTGTAAGATTCATTTTTTATAAAAGTAGTCTTGATGGCACCAAA